TATTAAATGTGAAATGTTTATTACGCAACTGAATGAAGATGTTAGGTAAGAAGTTGGAAGCACAAGTTACAGAGTCCATGGAGAAGGGCTCAAGCTGCAGAAATAAATTTGGATTATGCCAGCATGTGCAGTATTTAAAGCCAGGAGATTGAATAATATCCCACATTTCGGCCTTGAGCCTGCTGACACTTAGAGGTCATGAATATAAGAACCTGACAACATGGGGCCAATCTGTTAAAAAGGAAAAGCCAGGGGGACTTCCCTGGCAATCCAGTGGTTAAGACCCCATGCTTCCACTGCAAGGAGCCTGGGTTCGATCCCTGCTCGGGTTCGATCCCTGCTCGTGGAACTAAGATCCCACATGCCGCGCGGCATGGCCAAAACATTTTTAAAAACTAAAAAAAAAAAAAGAAGGAAAGGCCAGAGAGAGGATGGTATCTCAGAGGTAAGTGGTGAAGATTCTCCGAAGACAGGGTGGGATTGATATCAAACACTGAGAGGGAGTCGAGTCAGCTGTGGACTCAAAGCTAACCGCTGGAATTGGCCGTGAACCCTGGAGACCCTGACAAAGGGACTTCAGCAGAGAAGAGGCAAACCTCCGATGGTGTGGGTTCATGACAGAATAGGAAGTGGGGGAGTGTGATATGGAAAGCTTTTGCAAGGACGCTTTCCAGCACGGGACACAGAGAAATGAGACGAGGCATGATAATTCCTGCCCTAAGTGTTAAATAAGATGAACCACAAAAATCACTAAACAGACAGCAAGTGTCTTCTGAGGGCTCATCTCTGATCCAGCTCTTCCATGCTAAGTCGACACAAGAGTTTCCAGCGTGCACTGTACAACCCAATGGCCCCGTACTAATGCCAAACTCACCAAATACCCACTCTGAGCTCGGAGACTGAGATGAGAGAAGAAATGAGTTGCCTGTCACCTGGAGCTTCAGGCAAAAAACAATCAAAGAAAATCACCATTTCCTGGGCTTCCCTGGTGGCGCAGTGGTTGAGAGTCCGCCTGCCGATGCAGGGAACACGGGTTCGTGCCCTGGTCCGGGAAGACCCTACGTGCCGCGGAGAGGCTGGGCCCGTGAGCCATGGCCGCTGAGCCTGCGCGTCCGGAGCCTGTGCTCCGCAACGGGAGAGGCCACAGCAGTGGGAGGGCCGTGTACCGCAAAAAAAAAAAAAAAGGAGACATCAAGGAACATTTTCGGGACCCAAAGGTGAAGATAATTGAGAAATTCTCTTACATATGTATGACCTTTCTCTTCAGCCCACGGCAGGGGGACAGATGGGAAGGAGGAAGGAGGGGTACACCTTTAAAGACGAAACCTGACACATACAGCATTTTACAATTTATAAAACATCATCCCACTTGACAGTCTCTCTTTTTTTTTTTTGGCCGTACCACATGGCTTGTGGGATTTTAGTTCCCTGACCAGGCACTGAACCTGGGCCCTCAGCAGTGAGACCAGAGTCCTAACCACTGGACCGCCAGGGAATTTCCCCCTCCACCTGACATTCTCAATTGCCTCATGTGGTAGATTTCAGTGCCATACCCAACACTGCACCCTCACCCTCTGCCTTGTGAATTTGTGGTTCCCCCCACCAGAGGTAGAATATGCTTTATCTTAACAATGTTGGGTTTGGGCAAGTGACTCCTTTTGCCCAGCAGAATTTTAATAAAAAATTCTCCATAAAATACTGAAAACACAGAACAGGGAACTCTGCTCAATATTATGTAACAACTTAAATGGGAAAAGAATTTGAAGAAGAATAGATACGTGTATATGTATAACTGAATCACTTTGCCGTACACCTGAACCTAACACAACATTGTTAATCAACTCTACTCCAATATAAAATAAAAAGTTTAAAAAAAACATAATTAAAGGATTGGGTTTGCCCTCTTGGTGTCTGCAACCTTGATGAGGCGAACCCCAGCTGATCTGAAGACCTGTGAGCAATTAAAAAAAAGCTCGTGGTGGCATGTGACTAAGATACTGGGGCTGTTTGTTATGCAGGTGTAACTAACTGATACAGTCTATGACAATGTGTCTCAAATAGTGTTTGAAGCACAACCCACATTAGAAAATACATATTACTTTAGGACCAATGCACAAAAAGTATACATAAAGGCAAAAGCCAAAGTTTCATGAAAAAATACTTAACCTCGTTACTTGCAAGTCACTCTGAATTTTCTATTCTGTTTTATCCCATCCCATTCTATTCCACTCCACTCCACTCTGTGCCATTCCATTCCAGTCCATTCTATTCCTCCACTTTTTACAAAATGCTGGTGAGATCCCATAAAAACTGGCCCTTAATCTGAAAAAAATCCTGCACTGGAGCATTGTGGGAAAGTTATCCTTTACCCATTTTACAGATGAGGAGACTAATGCTCAGTTAGGTCACCTAGCCAGTAACGGAGGGCCAGTGTCCCAAGCGGTGTATTCTGACCCAACACTGTCCTTTTCTGTTGGTCAAATAGCTGCTGCGGTAACCGCTGATCCCCTCTCTATATTCAGTTCATTCTTAGCTTTCACTTAAAGTATTCTTAAAATGAGGGGCCTGGCTTATCCTCTGCTTGATAAAAATCAGAGACAAAATCAAGCCGGCCAAGTTCCAGTTTCAGTTCAGAGAGGTAGATGGCTGAAAAGAGCACTTCTCTTGCCCTTACCAAACTGCAAACTAAAAGCTTTTCTTAAACCCATCAGAGAACTGCTGATGCAGGGCTACAAACTAACCTGGAATCTGGAGACAGACACATGCCCACAGGGAGGAAGAGAAATCGAGCATTTGCTTCCCCAGAGTGGACTCTGCTGGATGTCATATAAGCTAGAAAGAAAAAAAGAATCCAAGGGAAAAACTGTACTGACTTGCTAACGGCCCCGTAGGGGCTGGTGTGAGTGTGAAGCTTTAGAGCCTGTAAACAACGGAGCTTGTAACCCCCGGGCTTGCTCTGCGAATCCCATCGGGCCCTCAAGGGAAGAGCTAGCAGCATCCCCGGGGACAGCTGGCTCAGGAGGGGGACAGCAGCCACTGCGGAAACTCTACACAGTTCCATATCCTCTGTCTCCCCTATGGGGCAAAAGTCTCAGTCTTTAGGCAGAAGTGTAATAAAAACTGCCATTTAGGGTACTAGGGGGATTCCGTTGTATCTAAAGTAACCAGTTTGAGTTAAATTTAAGCTGCCTTATTAAAAAGAGGCCTGCCTGGGCTTCCCTGGTGGCGCAGTGGTTAAGAGTCCACCTGCCGATGCAGGGGATGCGGGTTCGTGCCCCGGTCCGGGAGGATCCCGCGTTCCGCGGAGCGGCTGGGCCCGTGGGCCATGGCTGCTGAGCCTGCGCGTCCCCGCAACGGGAGAGGCCACGGCAGTGAGAGGCCCGCGTACCAACAAAAAAAAAAAAAAAAGAGGCCTGCCTGACTCTAGCGAACAGCTATGTGCTCCTGGTGACTAAGTTCCCTCATTAAAATGTATACAATAAGATTTATACAGTAAGAGGCTCTAGGACATAACAGCTCTCCTGTCCCCAGTGGGTCCCCAGACTATGCTTTCGCTGGTCACAGGCATCCCCCTCTCTGAGTCGTAACTGTCTACCCCTTCCCTTCGATAAGTAAACATACCACCTCCATCATCCTTTTTTTCCCCTAGAACATTACTGAAGTGTGCTGAATAATACCGTGTGATTCTGAGCAGGTAATTTAACCTGAGTTTCTGCTCCTTCATCTGTAAGGTCAATTGGCCTTCGGCTGGCACAAATATGGCATTTGCCTATAACATACCTCTTTCTTTTCTCAATGTCCCATGCAAACAGCAGTTGGGTTCTAAAGTTAACTGAAGCAAAATTGCACCCAACCAGTATTATATAAGAAAATCCCTATTTTCATTCACGAGGTACAGCATTTATGATTTTTAATACAAAGAAAATGTCGTAACATGTATGCGTAAGATATATATATAGATAGATATAGGTATAGATATATAAAACATATATATATAAAACTATAGGTAGCATGCAAGTGTACAGATGGGTGGTATATGCAAATTATTCAATTATTTCTCTCTGTTCGGAACACTCGAGCAACTTACAGTGTGTTGGCTCTCCCTGTGTGCTTCATCACCTACACCTTCTGTAAAAGTATCTTCCAGTTCTTCTAACATTTCATTAGTCAAGGGTTTCTTGGAGGCCACCGTTCAGTCTTTAATGTCTTCCTGAAGGCAAGAGGTCATTGACACCGCCACCACTCACTTGCTTGGCCACCAGAAGAAGGCATCACACACGTCTGGAAGATGGGGAGACTCTTCCCGTTGTGCTCAAGTGCCCCCCACCAGTTGTGCCAATATACACTGACGAATACTTTACCAGGCAGTGGAACAGAGATAACCAGATTAAAAGATGCACAGTTTCTACCCATATATGCGTATATGTATGCATGTAAATGTAAGGACACCGCGCTATTTTGGGCCAAATGCATATAGTTGAATTCTCAAGAGTTAAACTATTCATGTGATACGGCTCCAAGTCCTTTGGGCCCCTCATGCAATCATGGACACAAATCCAAACATTAGAACTGAAATCAAGTAGCAGTGATTGGGTCTACGGACAATGGTGCATGTTGCTTACACAGTCTATAGACTATCATAAAAAATGGATGTGCAAAGTCAAATAATTCTCATGAAGATTTCTAGGAGGTAAGTCCATGGATCTTGGCTCGAGGAACCTTCTATCCACCTTTGTACCTTCATAGACTATGACTTAATATAGTAATGCTTACTTCTCTGCCCCTCCTAGATGATAAGGCAAGCCTTTAAGGACAAGCATGTTGCCTTATTTAATTTTCTGCAGCTCAGGCTCATGGCACAAGGCCTGGAACCTTCTAGACATAGGGGAACTACACAGAATCAATGAGAGAGGAAGTGTTCTGCTCAGGATTGCACAACCAGGAACGGGAAGGTCTTGTGAGCCCCTCCCGCCTCACCCATCCATCATGCCCATCACTACACTGAAAGCTCCACTCTAAGGAGATTCCTTAATTCACTGTCAAGTTCTGATCATGAGGCTTTGCTCTCAGGCTCCTTTATTCTTCTCAATTCTTTCTTCATGCAGATCAGTCTCACTTCCCTAGTTGGACCATGGCTGGGATGTTATTACTTCCTTTCTCCGAAGCAGTGTGCCCAGCACCCAGCCCGGAACTGACTGATCGTCCAGGCCTCCCAGCAAAGGCAGATCTCAGGGCCAGCGTGGGCAGAATGGCGACCACTGCGCTTCTTTCCCTTCCTAGCTGATCCAAAACACATGCCTTCCTTAGAGAATCTTAAAGTCTTGGTGCTAAAAAGACCTCAGAGAATGCAACTCTTGCGCAGCCCAGAAAGGACGAGGATCCATGTCAAAGGCACAGCGAGGTCACAGCGAGTCTGAGGTTAACACTCAGTGATGATACATGCTGGGTTCCCGGCAGGGCTTTGAGGACATAAAGCAAACCCAAGTGTCTCTGCCTTTGAGGAGGTCTGAGTGGAAGAGACAGACTCCTGTGCAAAATACTGTCAAAAACAGTGACTGGGGGCTTCCCTGGTGGCGCAGTGGTTGAGAGTCCGCCTGCCGATGCAGGGGACACGGGTTTGTGCCCCGGTCCGGAAGGATCCCACGTGCCGGGGAGCGGCTGGGCCCGTGAGCCGTGGCCGCTGAGCCTGCGCGTCCGGAGCCTGTGCTCCGCAACGGGAGAGGCCACAACAGTGAGACGCCCGCGTACCGCAAAAATACAAAACAACAACAACAAAAACCAGTGACTGGTAGAACAGTAAGGTTTGTACGGTGTTCACAAGATGGTCGGGCCTCACTGGCTGCCTCCGGCCCACCAAACTTCAACTCACCTTCGCCCGAGATGCTCAGGACAGTCCTCCACAACAGACCCACGGACACCCGCTCCCATCCAGCCTCATCTCCCCGCTCATCAGCCAAGCATCACCAGTCAATTCCTGCATTCTGCTTGTTGGGTCACCTCCGTGATAAATCCCCAACCAAATCAACATTCAACAAGGTGTGATTCTACCTTGACAGACAAGTGCTTCCAAAATCGTGCCCCTTATCAAAACCACGCCAGCAAATGAGGCCCAAGATTATGGTTTGTTGTAAAGTTTAGCATACGCTTACCTGGGAAATATTTTCATTTTAGCTTTTTACCCCTCAACATTGGGAGATTTTCAAAGCACCACGAACGCTTTTGAATTTAGGAAAAGATCCAAGCACTTCCTAGTCATCAAACGGTGGGCCCAGGAGGGATTAAGAGCTGTTCATCTGGTGAGAGCCCAGCATATCGCGCTGCCCAGCCTCCTGCACCAGCTCTGACTGCAGACACTGAACCTGGTGGAGAGAAGTGCTGGGAACGAGGCTCCATCAGCACAGGAGTCACAAGCTTAGGTGTTCAGGGTTTAAGCATCAATTAGTCACATTAAAAAAAGGCATTGTGGCAGGATGAGCATATTCTCCGGGGAATGAGGGGTCTGCAGGGTTTGTGTTTTCCAAACTTATCTTGAAAGTACTTCTGAAAATTTCCCTAAGAAAAGAAACTTTTCTATCAAAGAATGCTGTGAACTGAGACCTCAAGGTATAAAAACCCGGCAGCTGAGAGGTTTTTTTTTTATCTCTGAGGCTCCAAGGGAAGGGAAAAAGAAAAATGCCAACGATGACCTCACCAATTTCTCCAAAATCAGAATGTAGAAAAGAGGGGGGTTGAAAGGCCCAAGCTAAGATCTGGCAGAGACGAGACTGGCTCAGCCCTGCCAAGAGAAGCCTGGGCGTCCAGACTCACACTCTCGGAGATTTCCAGAGAGACCAGCAAATCATAGCCCAGCCAGGCTGAGCCAGTCACAGAGGAAGGGGGGGCGGGGAGCACAGCAATGCCTCAGCAGCACAGAAGTCCCTGGAATTCACGCCCTTGATCAACTTGGAGTCCTTGCCAGTGTGACACGGGCTAAGTAAAATCCTGGATATAAAACTTCCAGTCTGAACAGCTTCAGAAGTATTCCCCATGGTGGAATTACAGCTGTTCTTACACTAAGTGACTCTGCCTTGTGAAAACCTCTACCTATGCTAGCAATGAATTAAAATAATTGCATCTAATACATTGGTCTAATACATCTCACTTAATACAACTAACTTATCTAATATATTTGTAATAGATTTCAGTTTACCCGTATAATTCACCCAGATTTTTTTCAGCACAATTGGCCTGGGATGGTGGAACTTCCGGGGATTGACTCAACATATGGGGAGGGGGATGGGTAAGCTGTGACAAAGTGAGAGAGTGGCATGGACATATCTACACTACCAAACGTAAGGTAGATAGCTAGTGGGAAGCCGCCGCATAGCACAGGGAGAACAGCTCCCTGGTTTGTGACCACCTAGAGGGGTGGGATAGGGAGGGTGGGAGGGAGGGAGATGCAAGAGGGAAGAGATATGGGAACATATGTATATGTATAACTGATTCACTTTTTTATAAAGCAGAAACTAACACACCATTGTAAAGCAATTATACTCCAATAAAGGTGTTTAAAAAAAACAAAATTAAATTAAAATTACAATTAAAAGAAACAAACAAAAAAAACAGTCAAATCCCTCCTGGCCCAGGGAGGTGACATAAACGAGGAAGGTGGGTCTGCTGTGAAGGTCAGGGAACTTGGGGATGGTGAAAAACTTGAGGGAGCAGCCCAAACCCTGCCCAAAGGGGACAGCGGCTACTACCTTGAGCCCACCACTGCCACTGCCCTGAGCCCACAGCTGCCACATGGGCTGTGTTCAGAGACCTTTGGACTTTGCGAGAGAAACGGGAATTCCAGAGCTCTGGTGAAATCTACTAATGTTTGAATGTTGGCATCTAAGTATATACATTTTTAAAGTACTTTGCTCTGTCTGGGGGCACGTCTTGGGGTCTGGATTTGCCTCAAGGCCTATCATTTTATGACCTTTGGCCTAAGGACATCCTGATACGGATGACAGGATGCAGAGCAATGGCACAGAAATGTTGTTTTGGTTTTTTTCTCCCTCCAATATATCAAACTTTGAGGTCCACATCACTGCCTCATTAGCATCATGCTCTTCAATGCTTGACAAAACTTTTGCTAGCTCCCCACAGACTTTACCAGCAATAGGAAATATGTTCATCTCACTTGCCAATGCAAATCACTTCTTAGCTGCTGCTCAAGGGACCTCTGCTGGAGAAGGAATCTGGGCTGTCCAAGGAAGGAGTGCTGGGATTGATTAGTGATGTCTGCATCGGAACATGCCAGGAAGTGAGGTCCTATCACAAGTTTGTTTTTTCTATATTACTTATATCCTATTTATGAAACCAAAATGCTTTGGCCCAATATCCTTGACCAAAGTCCCTTCTGTCCCAACCCAGGCCACGGTGCAAGCACTGGTATCAGAACTGGAAAGTCCTTCAAGATCCTCAGTATCAGTCTTTCACTCAAAAGGGGCTGTCAAGAAAGGCACATGGAAATCCATCCCTATGAGTGGGCTTCAGACACACAGTCTCAGCATACAGCCACCGACTGCTCTCCCTATAAACTCTGCTCATAGGAAAAGAAGTCAGAGTGTAACCCAAATATTTATTAAGTGTTAGACACAAAGGATGTCAGGAAGTCGTGGATAAATTCATCTCTCTGAAAGTATTCCCTGGGGAGTGACACGATTGAAACCCTTGATGATGGAAACTGCTCTGTTGTCCAGAGCATTAAAAGATGACTATAGGGCTTCCCTGGTGGCGCAGTGGTTGGGAGTCTGCCTGCTTATGCAGGGGACACAGGTTCGTGCCCCAGTCCGGGAAGATCCCACATGCTGCGGAGCGGCTGGGCCCGTGAGCCGTGGCTGCTGAGCCTGCGGGTCCGGAGCCTGTGCTCCGCAACGGGAGAGGCCACAACAGTGAGAGGCCCCTGTACAGAAAAAAAAAAAAGACTATATTAGTGCAATCGCTTCGGGCTGAGGCCTTTCATTCTAAAAAAGAGCCTGTTAAACTGAGCTTCAGAAGTGGTCAAAATGATCTGAAACATTTGCAGAGGGGCCCTTTAAGAAGGGTAAGGCAAGCTGCAGGGGGGAACAGGAGTGGAAAGCGGTGCTTTGAAATCTGAGACTGTCTCTTTGCATTTAAACCTGAAAGGTCTCCAGGCAATAATCCAAGAGTAGTTTAGAAGGAATACACTGAGTATATACATTGAATATAAATGATCATTGCCTGCTGGAAGCCCATCCCTCTTGAAAATGAATTAGAAGAGATATGAACCCATTTGTTTAATAGGTGGCTACGTAATCCAGTCCATCCAGTCCCAGAAAAATCTTATCCCATTGTTTTTGACTGAGACAGAATCTGTATTTCCACCTGCTGCTAAAGGCAGCATTACTTTCTCAAAGTCCATCTCAGCGTAGCGATATATATCAATAAAGCATGAATGAATTGCTCACGCAAGACTCCTGCATATTCCGGGGTAAATGTGTGAGATTCTCCGAAGACTTCTCTCATCAATGCTCACTGAGTCTCTGCTATACGAGTGACTCTTGGCTGAAGAAGTCAGTTCTAGCTCTTTGTGGGATTTCTTCTTATGTTCACCAGTTCCTAACATCACTGAATGTCCCTCTAGACATATGAAATGTTTCAGAGAAAAGAGGGCTACATTTTCATCTTTGGAAAGTAATCTTAATCTTAGGATATGTATAAAATAAGTCAGTGTACGGATAATCCCAAAGTAGGGGGGAAAGAAGACTGGCCCTGAAATAAGCACCCTAAGTTCACAGGGCTAAGTTCCCTGTGAAATTGGGGTGCTCTCTGTAAAGGAGGGGCCGAGAGCCAAGCTTCCTGGGGTCAAACCCCAGCCCTGGCAGTTTATTTAAGTGGGGGGGGAGGGGCAATATAGGGGTGGGGAAGTGTGAGGTACAAACTACTGAGTATAAGTTCAAGGCTGTGTGTACAACATGGAGAATACAGCCAATATTTTGAGATAACTGTAAATGGAAAGTAACCTTTAAAAATTGTATAAATTAAAAAAAAATTTTAAATAAAGTGTATTGAAATGATTTGAGTTTCTTTAGGAAACTCAATGAATTTGAATACGAAGCCGATACATTCTGCCCACCATCAAAGCTCACGGAAGGAGTTTAAATTGTGAACCAAGCCCCAAAACATCAAGGATAAATGTCCCAGGAGACAGAGGCACAGTGGCCGTAGTTGACCCTGCCTGATATTCGAAACACAGTCACAGACCTGATACTGAGCAGGACCCTGTGGGCTCCTGGGCACAAAAGCCTTTCCGTGTCCCCCATTTCTTCATTACAGGAAATAGGCTTCATTCAGCCTCCATGACCTTCCCTGAGTTCCAACGGGCAGGTTCAAGCAGTTGTTAGTTAGGGAAGAGATGGGATGCAGAGACAAGGGAGGAGCAGTCAGGAGACAAGAGTGCAGCCTTGGGGCAGGGTCCTGGTTCCCCCTCAAGGGACACACAGAACAATATCTTTGAGCCGTTTTGCAGATACTGAAACCCCCATCAGGTGGGAGAAGTTAACTGTCGGCTGCCCACAAGCACGTAGACCGCAGACCGGCTGGAACCAAAAAGTTGATGATGCTGACTCCCCGTTACCTCCCCACCAACCAATCAGAGGAAGGTCCACGAGCTGACCACGCCCTCTTTGAGCCACTGCTATAAAACTCCTCACTACCCGCCTCCAGGTCAGGACGCACAGTTTTGAGGGCATTAGCCCGCTGTGGCCCCCTTTGCCTGGCAAAGCAATGAAGCTATTCTTTTCTGGTTCGCCCAAAACTCTGTCTCCGAGATTTAATTCGGTGTCGGCCCAAGACCTCAGTAACACCATCTCCCCAATGCAGCTCTGTTTACTGAGGGCGCGAAGCCCGGCGGCTGCAGATCTACACTGGCTAGTCCCAAGGTCTCTCCGCATGATGCCCAAACAATTCCAGAATGTTAGCTCTTCATAGAGATGCTTAAAGACAGAAAGGGACAAAAGATCTCATTAATATTGAAATCTGAACGATGCTGACAGGAACAAAAGGTTGGGGATGGAGCAATATCTATCCTCTGGCCAACAGGAAATATATGACACATCTCCCATCCGGATGGAACAATGCAAGTCCAAATTACCAGCATCAAGAAGGACAAAATTAGGCAATAACGTCCAAACTGCCTGACAACTTATCGTTAGCTGCCTGGCTCCTGGTGATGGGTGAAGGGGAGGAAATTCATGCCGAGAAACAGAAGAACAGTGTTTTCTGTAGGAATGTTCGCCAAGCCTTGCCAAAAGAGAAAGAAATGGGCTTAAACCACCTTTGGATTTTTCTCCATCTCCTTCTAATGACATTAGGACCCGTCTGAGGGTTTCTCCGGAAGCCCACAGCAGACAAGGACCCTTTGGAGATAAGTCAGTGCAGAGAGACTGTTCTGAACCTATTTCATCAGCACTGCGGGGATCCCCACAAGGTCCTCAATCCCACCCCCCAGGTGCCTGGGCCTCACCTTCCATTAGGTTTATCTCCTCCTACAGTGCAGGACACGTGGAAGGTGAGAACCACAGCCCCCGGGGCAAAACGCGTCTGCACATCTCTTTCAACTGGATGACTTGCCAACAATCAAAAGTCTTACATAAAATGTGGACTTTCAGAAACACCTGTCTTTAATTCTGTCTTTACAGGAGAGAGGAAATAGAAAGGGACTGTTTGTCCACTTTTCGGTACCATGAATTCGCACACGCAGTGGACTAATGCTTACTCACCACCCACTGAGAGCCAGACACTTAAACCTCTCCCACCTCAGTTTCCTGGGCTGTAAAATGGGCATAAGAGTGGTACCTACTGTGTCGGGGTGCTGGGTGGGT